GAGCCGCAGTTCCTGGCTAATGTGTTACTAGCTATGGGTCAGAGACGGTGTGTGCCTTTTGCCCTGGTCTTTGCTTTGTTTGCCACACAGCCTTGGTTCATACTGTCACAGCAGAAGCCCAGCCTCGCAACGGGGCTCCCTGCTCCCCTGGGGCTTCAAACCAGAGAACTGAAAACAGGTTGTGAGAGGTTTTTTTTGTTGTTGTTTGCTTGTTTTTTTTTAATATATCTTATTGATTTTTTACAGAGAGGAAGGGAGAGGAATAGAGAGTTAGAAACATCGATGAGAGAGAAACATCGATCAGCTGCCTCCTGCACACTCCCCACTGGGGATGTGCCTGCAACCAAGGTACATGCCCTTGACCGGAATCGAACCTGGGACCCTTCAGTCTGCAGGCCGACGCTCTATGCACTGAGCCAAACCGGTCAGGGCGAGGTTTTTTTTTAATGATGCTGATTCCTAATCGTATCACCATCTACTGACACATAACTCTTTGGTTCTTACAGCCCTGCTTAGAGAGAGGGTTAGAACCTAAACATCTAGTAAGGAATGGCTCTGGCTGCCTGTGGAGAGAGAAGGGGTGCTTCTTGACATCAGAGTGGGGCTTTTGGCTGTTGTCCAGCAGGTCTGCGTTCTGGGGGCTGGGCCTTCCATAAATGATGAGCATATTTGAGGGGAGAGCCCAGAGGGAAAGATCTGGTCCCTCTGGAAGGAAGGGAAGCAGAAAAAGGAGACAGCTGGTGGCTAATGGGAAGGTGCGACATCCTCTCCTTCCCCCAGATGGTCTCCCTTTCCTTCAGTGGGAGTGGAAATCACATGGAGGGCAGCCAGGTACTTCTCCCACAGCCGGGGAGGAGGGGGCTGTGTGATGAAGTCCATTGTTTTAAAGTGAGAGCTGGACCCCTGAGGGAGCGCTGCACATGGAGGGCCTTATCTGTAATAGAGAAAAGCACAGTGCGCAGGGGGTGTTAGGACCTCACTAAACTAAGATTTAACATGGAGTGTATGATCACCATTGCTTTTACTGTTAAGTATTTTCACAGTGTATTTATGTGCACATTTTAGACCTGATTTGCTTATATTAAGCTCTTCCTCTAGTCTCGACTCCATGCTCCTTGGGGGTAGATATTTCAGTTGTTTCTGGATCCCCAGAACCGTCCCAGCTCAGTCCGGGGCCAGGAGATGTTTAATCGCTGTTGGATGAATGAACTAACCCTGTCATCTCAGCAGGACAGTCTAGAGACTTGCAGAAACTCACAGGAGAGACATTCCTGGCAGAACAAAAGTCTGATTTCAAAGACATTGAGTTTCAGGTTCATCTTATCTTACTTATTATTTTGTTTAATTGTACTCTAGAAACAGATAGGATGACCTCACTAAAAGAGTAATCAAGTTAATAATTACATACCTGATGGGTTTTCTTTATTCATTTTCTTTTTCTCTCTCTTTTAAAGGAATCCTTTGCTGAACACCTGGGCTACTCAAATGGGGTCATCAATGGGTAAATCTTAAACTTTTTTTTCTTCTAAAAAATAGTTTGTTGGTCCTACCTCAACTTTTCTCTCTCTAGTGTTATTCGTCATACAAATACACACAGCCAGCCTCCTTAGCCTTCTCCCCTCAGGAGAGCCTACAGAAGTTGTGAACCAAAATGTATCAGCATCTCTTGTACTTTAGTGGCATAAATTACCACATGCCTTGAGTAAGTGGCTATTCAAAGGACATAGATCTCATTTAATAGATTTAATAGTATCCTAGTTCTAAAAATGTTGTCGAAGCTTCAAAGGGTTGTTATTTATAACTAATAGTGTAGCTTAGGCTTCAAGAGGATTTATCATATTAAATTTCAAGTGGATATTTAGTATTAACTCGCAGGAGTAGAAATGTCTCATCTACTATAAATATGTATGACTCTACAGTAATTTGTTAGAAATACGGTCTGTATAGGAAACATTTTTCATAAGCAGTAGACATTGAAGAGAAGCATGCCTTGCAACAACAAGAAGGAACATGCTTAACAGGAAGTCTCTGTTTTGCTTGCTTGGCACCAGGGAAAAGGTATTATTAGGACACAGGACTTATTCTCGGGTCCCAAGGGCAGACTGTGTCACCAGGAACTGGAACCCATCCAGAAGCAGTGCCACCAGGCTCTGCTGCCTCCCCACTGCCCCCCTTTCTCTGGGTTCTGTGGTTGCTGCTGGTGCCATCAGGTTGGCCAGGGTTGCATATTAAGATCATGGTCACAGGGGGTGTTTGGAGGTCAGTTCTCAGAGCAGGGGAGGGACACGAGGAAGACCTACAGTTGAAAATGTGTCTCTTAGACACAACACATACGTATTGTGTCATAAAATCAGCTACCGAATGGTGGATTTCACTGTCCTAGACTGCAAGTGCCCTGGAGAGTTTTCCAACAATACCAGTCCTACAATAAAGTTTTAATAACAACACATCCTTGTTGATAAAAGGGAAAAGTGGGTGATTGTGGAGGAAAACGGCTCTACTTTAGCTTATTGACACTCTTCTCCATCTGATGGCAGTACACATTACCATTTAAAATATATAGCCCTAACCGGTTTGGCTCAATGGATAGAGGGTTGGCCTGTGGACTCAAGGGTCCCAGGTTCGATTCCGGTCAAGGGCATGTACCTTGGTTGCGGGCACATCCCCAGTAGGGAGTGTGCAGGAGGCAGCTGATCGATGTTTCTCTCTCATCGATGTTTCTAACTCTCTATCCCTCTCCTTTCCTCTCTGTAAAAAATCAATAAAATATATATTTAAAATATATATATTTTTTGATTTCAGAGAGGAATAGCGAGGGAGAGATAGCAACATCATTGATGAGAGAGAGAATCATTGATAGGCTGCCTCCTGCATGCCCCCTACTGGGGATAGAGCCCCCATCCTGGGCATGTGCCGTGATAGGGACTCAACCATGACCTCCTAGTTCATAGGTTGATGCTCAACCGCAAAGCCACACTGTTGAGGCACATTACCATATGTATTTTTTACTTGAGTTTTCTGCCTAAGCCAGGACTCTTGCCCCCTTCCCAATGCATTCCAGCACAGTGTACATGGTGATCTTATAAAAAGATATATCACCAAAATACATGGTAAAGGAAGAGGATTTGAATTTGGGTGGTGGACACACATTGCAATATACAGATCATATATCATAGAAATGTACACTTGAAACCTATGTAATCCTGTTCACCAATGCCATCCCAATACATTTAAGTTTAAAAAATAAAAAATATGGGGGGGGGGAGAGAATGGGGGAAAAAGAACGCATATGTGATACCTTAATAAGGAAAGAAAAATTAACAATAAAAAAAATATATATGTCAGATCTTGTCACTCCCCTGTTTAAAGCCCATCAATGGCTTTCCATTGCCCTTAAAACGGACACGTGCAGTGTGGTGAATGGAGCGCTGCAGGGTCTGCCCGTCCCACCCTCTGCCTCTCTGCTCTCCTCTCCCAGTGTTCTCTGCTCACTTAGGTTTAAGTCCCACACACCTTTTTTTTTTCTTTTTCAGTTCCTCAGTCTCACCAGGCTCTTTTTAACTCCTCAGGGCTTTGTACATATTCTCTCCACTTCCTGGTATCTTGTCCTCTCCTCTCCCAAACTTTCATCCTCCATGGGCTGCCTTTTGCTCAGTCTTTTAGGTTTTAGCTAAACTGTTACTTTTTCAGGGAGGTCACAACCCCTGACATTGGAAACCTGTTAGCTGGCAATTTTTTCCCTGGAGGGCCAGATCTCAAATATTTTCACCTTTGCAGGCCAAAAGGTCTCTGTCACACCTACTCAGCTTTGCCCATGTAGCATGAAAGGAGCCATAGACAAAACAGTGAGCATGGCTGTGTCCCAATAAAATTTTACTTACAAAAACAGCCATCACACCAGGGCTGAAGTTTGACCAACTCTCTCTCATCTAAAGAAAGTAGTAATGTGTTGCTGTAAGTTCTCTCATAGCAACTTGATACCTTTTTAGTACTTATCACAATCTATGATGATCCATTTTGAAGGCAAGGATTCTGTTTTGCTTATCACTATACACATGCCTAGCACTGAGCTTGGCACAGAGTAGAGGCTCAATAAATATTTGAATGACTCTTAAGTGCCCTAAATTAACAACTTTATATGCTTACTAAGTAAGGATTTAGGAAATAAAACATACATGTATGTGTGTGTAGCATATGTAATGCACTCTTTATGAGTTTTGCATATATTTTTATTTTTCCATTATATACTCACTGCTTTGGAGAGGATATTCACTCATTCATTCCACAGTTACTTATTGTTTATGATGCACAGGGAATTATATGAAAAGCAGAGTTATACTGGATCCTGCAAGAAGACAGCAGTAATACTGTCTTCTTGTTTTGCATTTTTGGGTTCAGGGCTGAGCTGTATCGGGCCTCAGGAAAGTTTGAGCTACTTGATCGTATTCTGCCAAAATTGAGAGCGACTAACCACCGCGTGCTGCTTTTCTGCCAGATGACGTCTCTCATGACCATCATGGAGGATTACTTTGCTTTTCGGAACTTCCTTTACCTGCGCCTTGATGGTGAGTACGTGAGGAACTAGACTGGGAAGCCCTGCTCCTGGGAGTACAGGAATGACGGGCACTTAGATCCAATCTCCTCGGAAAAGTGGGGGTGAGATTGTTGAAGAATTAACTAAGGGTGGGTGCCGCTTTTCTAGATACCAATTTTTATACCCTCAAGCTCAAAATAAGCTGAAATCCCTTGCACAGCTGTTTATCCCCCCACACAAGCCAATACAAGTGAGCTAGAGTCATTTACTGGTATAAGTTCCACCATTAAACTAAACTGAAATAAAATTTAAAAGCCCTCCTTACTCTTAGGATTATCTATTTCCTTTGCACCATATGGAATATCTTAATAAGCTGTTAGCTTTTTGTGTTAGGGCATGTTTTAAGGGGATAAAGGCTATGTCTCCTTTGTTCAGTAATACTGAAATAGTTCAGTTAAGATTATATTTCATTATCATTAAAGCTTCTCTCTTTTTCTAAGCAGAATATATCTATATGTTACATTAAGAGATAGGTTTCCATTGTTTCCTGGATTTTGCAAACTATCCCATATAATAAAGAGCTAATATGGTAATTAGACCGGACGGGCGGAACGACCTTCTGGAACGAGCAGTGGGCAGGGGAGTGTGGGGCCCACGAATTTCATGCATCGGGCCACTAGTGTAAAATATTTCCCGGATACTAGGAGAGAACTTTAAAGACCATGTCCTAAAAAATTAGTAAGAAAATATGAATGAAAGAAAGTATGAATTTAGGGATATATGATTTCTATATCAGCCCCAGTACTTTAGAGATGAAACATACTATATTTTTCATACTATAGCAGGGGCTAAGACTTTCAAAGAGTGGTATGTGGGAATAACTAATTTACAGCCAGGATGGTGTAAATCCCTGAAGAATACAGTATTACTAATACCAATTTTCATCCAGTGCAATAAACAAGTTATTGTTAAATGTTAACTTAGTTTATGTTTCATTGAAAGGTTTTGTTTTATTTTAATCCTCCCTTTGCCATGAATTAGACATAGCTGGATATATTCCAAACCTCAGACTTGCCATACTTGAATTTTTATTTAATTTACTTTATTTTAAATATATTTTTATTTATTACAGAGAGGAAGGGAGGGGGAGAGAGAGATAGAAACATCAATGATGAGAGAGAATCATTGAATGGCTGCCTCCTGAACGTCCCATACTGAGGATTGAGCCCCCCGCCGAGGCATGTGCCCTGACCAGGAATCGAACCATAACCTCATAATTGAACCTGGTTCATAGGTCAGTGCTTAACCACTGAGCCACACTAGCCGAGCCATACTTGAGGGTTTTCTTTTTTTAAATATATTTTAGTGATTTTTTACAGAGAGGAAGGGAGAGGAAAGAGAGTTAGAAACATCCATGAGAGAGAAACATCCATCAGCTGCCTCCTGCACAGCCCCTACTGGGGGTGCAACCAAGGTACATGCCCTTGACCAGAATTGAACCTGGGACTCTTCGGTCCACAGGTCGACGCTCTAGCCACTGAGCCAAACTGGTCAGGGCCACACTTGAGTTTTAAATGAATTCTCTCTTTTTTTTTTTTTTCAAAAAAATTTTTTAAATATATTTTATTGATTTTTTACAGAGAGAAAGGGAGAGGGATAGAGAGCTAGAAACATCGATGAGAGAAACATCGATCAGCCGCCTCCCGCACACTCCCCACCGGTGATGTGCCCGCAGCCAAGGCACATGCCCTTGACCGGAATCAACCGGGGACCCTTGAGTCCACAAGCTGACACTCTATCCACTGAGCCAAACCGGTCAGGGTGTAAATGAATTCTCTTTATGATCTCCCTCTTAGGGTATTTTTAAAAAATGAATTATACCTCTGATAGACTTGATTTTTAAAAATCTTTTTACCTCTCTCCTCCAATGTCACTAACAACAGATGATCGGTTAAGTAAATGTTAATTTTGAATTCAGGACACAGCTACATCCTCCACAGTCTGTCTCCTTTGGCAGCACTCCTGCATTGTCTTGTCCTCTGCCCGGATCCCACCCTCCTGCTCTGTGGGAGAGGTCAGCTCTCCTTCACCACTCTCATCCGAAAGCAAACCTTCCTCCATTGTGCTCAGGGGAGGGGCAGCCCAGCCCTCTGGCCCCCCTCTCTGCCTCCCACAGGTGTCCTAGATGACTTGTTTACCAGTCTGTGGCTTTTTGTTTTGAATCGCAGCTCCCTGAGGATAGCAACCCTGGAATGTTGAAGTCTGTGAAATTGACCAGAAATGATTTCCTTGAAACAAATCTCTCTCCTGTTTTCTCCCCAGTCTCAGAGAGTATCTTTATAGTCTGTTGGTTGCTGTCCTTATTGTTACTACTAACAACAGTCCTAAGAGCTAACGTGTATGGAATGCCTCCTCCATGTGGGATGGCGGGCCACGCACCTCTAGTGCACTGTTAATGTCATTTTCTCAGCCAGCCAGCTACATTTGTCCCGTTTACGGAGGTATTACCATGATCCCCATTTAACGGATGAGAAAGGAAAGGTTTTAGAGAGATGAGTTAATGGTGAAACCAGGTTCTGACTTAGGTCTCTCTGCCTCCAAATTAGCTGCTTTAACAGATCCAGTGAGATACAGCCATTTCTGAAAATGTAGGCTGCTGCCCTCAACAGCATTTGAAAGATGATTTTGAACTGAATTAAAAAAGTTTGATTGATTGATTGATTGAAAATAACCAGTCACCAGAGATACAAGATGAATGAGCCACTCACGGTTCCTGCTGCCAAACCCCTTACCATTAGGTTGGAGGAGACAAGTCAGCAAGTTCCATCAAGCATCAGAGATGGATTGAGAATGCAGACAGATTTCCACCCACAGGACACAGCAGCCATGTGTTTTGGGGGTGGAGAGCATGGTGGGCAGACAGTCAATATACACAGGAATAAATTAGTGCCCCTGCTTCCACTGCACCACTTCCACCCACCACCCTCTTCACCCAATTGTTCCAAAGACTTCAGATTTTCATTGCCAAATTTGATGTCTCTGATTTTTGACCTCAGGAAAGAAAAGAAAAAAACCCACTTGATGACAGCTAAGCAGATTTTTCTGCAAAGATTGTGGTTGCATGAATAGATTTTAGCTACTATTCCATTATAGTCTGTTTTCACTGGAAATGATTTTTGAGTGAAAGCAAGTGGTGAAGTTACATCCTAGAAGGCCGAATTTTCCCAAAGCACTTGACACTCAGTTAAAATTAGTAATCATGAAAGCCTGGCAGTATGTTCCTCCTGGCAAATTCTGCAGTTCTCAACACAATTGCCCTTGCTATTAATTGTATTCTTGGTAATGTGCTACATCAAAGTCCAGAAGAACCTGGGCCGGATGCACATTAAATCCTGTGCCACCTACAAGGAGCATTTATTTGCCTGTGGATAAATCCTGACAAGGTAGTTTGAATCTCCCTGAGCAATATCCCAAAGATTGCTGATGATCAGCAAAGATCTTGACTTGGGGAACCTTTGACTAATGGATATGGTAATGCAGCAAGTTCTGAACATTGTAATAAAAAATGCCATAGCTTTGCATGAAAAGTGATTTAATCGTATTTTCCCTTGGCTTTATAACTTGTCAAGTTCCCAGCTATTTTATATAGTTTAAATATATATCAGATATGTGGTCGGTCTGTTTGCTTGAGGTATTTGTCATGGAGCCTGAAAACTCCTTTTATCAAATAATTTTGATAATCCTTTTGTTTTTCAGTGCTTTATTTTTGCATTTAGGGTTATTTCATCCCGAGTAAGCATATCCACTAATTAATCTTTTTTTTTTAATCCTCACCAGAGGATATGTTTTTATTGATTTTAGAGAAAGAGGAAGGGAGAAAGAGAGAGAGAAAAAAACACTGATGTGAGAGAGAAACATCGATTGGTTGCCTCCTGTACACAGTCTCTGACCAGGGATCGAACCCTCAGCTTTTTGGTGTACAGAGCCATGCTCCAGCCAACTTAGGCAGGGTTCTACTAATTAATCTTAATGCATGTGAACATTAACTGGTTAATTTTTAGTGGATCAAAACTGAACTTCTCCCCTGAGTACATAGATGCACAGTTTTTGTACTCTGCTATCAGAAAACAGTTCTCTCTGGGAACTCCTTTCCGAATTTTAGAAGCATCTTTTCAGTTTCTGTGGCTAATTATTTACGTAAAGCAGAAGATAAATATGTGAACCATTACTTCATGTGAGTAATTTTTCAAAAATGATTGTCGCTGGAAAGATGATGGTGGCGAAAAGGTTTCATGGTAGAACAGATCTTCCATGACCACCGTGAACAAGTAGTTCCCCATGAACAAGTAGTTCTGAAAATAAAAGAAAAACGAGCCCCACGTGTTTGAAACCTCGTTCAACAAAGCACATTTCGTGATTCTCCCCCAAATTCTAAGTTCTTAACAGTTCTTTGTTGCAGAATTTGACCAGGTCACTAAACTTGAAATCTAATTTAGAAAGTAAAATGAGCTCTAAAGAATGTGGCTTCAGTGAGAGCCTCCCCCCCACCCCCCCCACCTCAAAGCCACATCTGCTGTATGCAAGGAATCGGCTCTTTCTCCCTCCTCAGGAGGGTACTTATTACTTTTATTAATATGAAAAACAGATCCCCCCGTGTTTGGGAACTTGACCCTCATAGTAACTTGATTCCATTAACCGTAGTCACTGAGCTGTTTTAATCCTCTGAAATAAATTTGCTAGTATAGTTTCATCCTTAAGAAAAGAACACCATGCAGAAATAATGTTTGTATAGCAGGCAGTTAGGGACTATCATGTAACGTGCATATATATTTCCCAACAGCCTCAGGCCTTTTTTTCAAAACTCCGCAGCTCCACTTCTCTGCTGAAATATGTTCAGGTAGAATTTGTAGATTTCTTTCCCTTCCCCAGTGCAGTTCAGGTAAATACATCACAAACCCAAGGCATGTGATTGAGTGGCTGTTTCGGGACACCAATATGGTGCCTTGGCATCCGAAAAGTGAGCGCCTTAGCCTGCGGTTGGGACGCTCCGCTTACTCACTATTTTGGAATCTCCTCAGACACCACGGGGTGAGCCATCGCCAGGTGTGTCACGTGCGGCTCTGTTGGGCTGAGTTTGGCGTCCTTTGAACTGTCAACATGAGAAACAGACTGAGAGATTCCTTCTTCCCCCCACCCCCCTTTTAATTATTGTGGCTTCAAGCCTTACTACAAGGATAAAAATATTCCCTCCACATTTGATGTGTTTACCAGCCAGATCGTGCTCAGTAGCAGTCCACATGGTGACAGTGTAGAAGCAATTGATTTTCCTTTTGTTTCCATTCTCTTGGCGTAAACAAGACCTCACACTAATGCCTATCGGCAAAGTTGCTTTAAGCCATCATAATAATCGGTTTTTGCTTTAAGCCATCATAATAATCGTTTTTTTGCTCTGTGTGTGTGTTTTAGAATATATTTGGTGGTGTTAAGCACAGAAACATATCCAGAGAATGTTTTCGTTGGGTTTTAGGTTAGCATAAGAATAATGTACAACCTGTTAAGTTGCAGAGGTGCCCAGTCCAAAATGTTTATATTCTTTCAGCATTTTGGAACTATGGGTGATAGACAAAGTGTGCCTTCTTAATGTGAGAGAAGTCTCTTTCGATCGCTCTATTATTTTTCTTTTCTTTCTTTCTTGCAAAATTTTCAAAGTTCCTTTCAAACATACAAAAACCTCAGGGGATTACCTCACCAATGCTGAGAGGAGTCTGAGACTATTTCTCAAGGAAGCAGGCCTTTTTGTCTTGCTCTGTGCCATGTTCAGACAGGAGTTAATTGGCAAATTTATTTTTCTTATCCCCTCAGGCACCACCAAGTCTGAAGATCGTGCTGCTTTGCTGAAGAAATTCAACGAACCTGGGTCCCAGTATTTCATTTTCTTGCTGAGCACAAGAGCGGGAGGCCTGGGCTTAAACCTCCAGGCCGCCGACACTGTGGTCATCTTTGACAGCGACTGGAATCCTCATCAGGTCTGCGTGTCCCTGACTTAGCTGCCCAGCCTCCCCCCCTGGAGAGGAGCTAAAAGACCAGCCTTTTCATCACTCACATTGGTGGGGCAGAGCAAAGTTCTACACAATGGGCCATGTTTGCAGAGGGAAAAAGCCCCTCACGTTATTACGGCTGTTTTCTTATCTCTCTTGGAGCATGTGGAGATGTCTTACTCATACCTTGGATAGAGCTCACATTTGGGGTAGAAATACTTAGTTTCTGCTTCGTTTTTAACCTCATTTCCTGGGATGGCCACTGAGCGAACTACTTGGTTGGTGAAGGATAAATCAAAAGTGTTCCAAAGTAAAAACAACACAGGAGCAACTCACGTGGCTTGGCCCTTACTCCGTGCCAGCCTTGCTCCCTTCAGCCTTCACACAGCCGTGTGAGATGGTGACTGTTACTGTTCGCTTCCTCACAGTCAAGAAAAATGAGTTTCAGGAAGTGTAGGTCAAACATTGCATATATGACAGACAAGTTTATAGTCTGTGTTTTGCTTAAAATCATCATCAAAAAATATTCTATGGAGCATCAACTATGAAGTTCTTCTAGCCGGTAGGTTTAGAGTCACCCTTTGGTGATTAATAAATCATCGAATGGGTCCCTTGAGGCCCTGGGTTAGTAAATTATGCTGGGAGTTGTGCACCTGCCTGTAAGATAATTGGGTGGATGCTGTTCGTCAGGCTTGATTCATGTTGGAACCAATGTTAACTCAAAATAGTAGAAAGGGACACTGGCTCTCACATATGAGTATGAATTCTACATCAGCTTCACCCGGGCTCCTCTCTGCACCTTGGTTACCTCAATGGTAAATATGCAGAAAAATACTGCTTCACTGGGTCGCTGTGACAATTGGGCGGAAAAGGCTTGTGGCGGAAGTTTTGGGCAGGAAGGTGGGGTTCATGGGTGCATTAGAATTAAGAGGGAGATTTTACACAAGCATACATGCCTGCTTCCCGTTCCCTGCTTCCCCAATTTTGAAGGTGCTTCCCACCCATACAGACTCCGTGGACTTTTCTATACATTCAGGTGGTCCCAGGAGAGTCTGGCATAGGTTTTCTCACACAGCTGACAAGCACTGATTTACAGAATAAACCAGTGGTTCCAAACCTCGGGGTGGCCACCAACCCTGACCCTTGCCTACGCCCACCTGTCACTCTCTTTAGGTGACTACAGTGGAATTGCTATTAAATCTTTCTGACCTTGAAGAGGGTTCTAAATCTTCAGGAAGTATTTTGATGTAGTTTTACATCCCACACTGCATTCCAGAGCATCAGTAGAATTCGTATTTGTGTGAGAGCTCTGCAGTTCTCCTGTGGACCATTGTGAATTCAGCATCTGTTCCACAAACACTTTCTGAGTGGCTGCTGTGGCCCAGGTGCTGAGCTAGCTGGGTGTCTAGGGGAAGGAATCTGTGATTTCTCTCTTCCCCGGTGCTCAGTGTGGATGGATGCTTAGATTCCCCTCCTTGCTGCTGCCTGAATCTCCATTGAGAAACAGTAACTTGTCTGTAGGTGAATGGAGAGTTCACTAGATTTTATCTCTTGAGGTAAACATTTCTATGGCATCTCAGTTGTCCACTTTCGTTGGTAAAGTGCTAATTCTAAGACCCAAAGGAAATCACTTTCTGGAAATGCTAATTTGCCATGAGAAAGGATGCTGGGACATATATGCCTCTCTCTCTCTCTCTCCCCCTCTCTCTCCCTCCCTCCCTCCCTCCTTCCTTCTCTCCCTCCCTCTTTTGTTTCACACATAAACACACACACACACACACACACACACACACACACACACAAACTTTTATGACCAGCACCTAAAGGTGGAACTCCAGAATCAAAGTAAATTACATGGACACCAAACAGTTGACTTTTAAATGTATATGAATTAAAACACAGGGCCCCAAATTTGGGGAGATCTAATTTATCACAAGTTTATCACATTGGGCCACATATTTCTGGAAGTATTTCTATCTGCCATAGGTAGATTCATTTCTACCTGGTTTGGTCAGGTTGGCTGACCGGATTTTTCTTATCTATCATTTATGGTCACTAGTTTGGGCAAACCGTTATTTCTTTACTTTATTTTTGGAAATCAGCGATGTTAGCGTGATATAGATGAGTGCTAATTTCTTTTATTTAAAGGGTAAGAACTAATTAAACAACAACTCTACCAGAAAACGAGGCACTTACGTAGCATAACTTACTTCATGCAGTCCTCAGACTACTTTACACGTAAGGAAACCCGTCAGTATTAACTAGCCCAGGACCACAGCCAGGTTCACACCCATGTCTGCTTGGGTTTGGGTTTGCATCCTGGCTTTTGGCTCTTTCTACCCTGTACCCCTGCATACATGTTGCATAGTTCCCACAATGAAAGTTATAGAGCTTTTCTTTTTTTACCTTGTTGGCTTCTGCATGCATTGAAAGAAATTGCTGGGACTATTCTTTATGGTGGTGAATCAAAATCAAGGCATATTGATGAAAAAGGGGCTTTATTTGATTGAGGTGGACAGATTAAAGATAAAAGCCCTAGAAGCAAAGCTAGAACAGGGATGTGGAATTAGCAATAAAAGCCCCCAGGGTTACCAAGACTTTTCATCTCCAAACTATTGATTGGAAACATGGGTTGGTACTTTTATTTTTAATCCATGGGACTGAAGCTGTGTTACTACAAAATGGTCAACCACAAAGTCACCTTGGAGGCCTTCTTCTTGGGCTGTTTTTGGATTCAGATATAATCACACCCAAATCATTGTGATGAAATATCAGAACACCAAGACCTCAGAAATATCGAATCATCCATTCAATAATTACAACACTTATTTCCTTGTCACAATGTCCTCCCCACCCCTGGCGTTCTGGCTCAGGGACTCACAGGCTTACGTTGCATAAACTTCTTCAGCCTAGAAATACTAATTTTTGCCACTTTCCAAACTGGTAGATGGCCTTAAACGACAAAGAAACAGCACTCTACCAGAAACTGTGAGGCACTTAGCACTGCCACCATCACAAGAAAAACAAAACTAATTGCAATAAGCACCCGATAATGTAAGACCTTTTTACACTGTCTGAAGGCGTTCCACACCCTCTGCTTCCTCACCTGCCACTTTCTCCTGCCAGCTGCATCCACTGTTTTGTGGTTTACCCACTTCTTCTAGGACAGGGGTCAAAACTGTGACCCACGGGCTGAGTCTGGCCCGCCACCTGTATTTGTACGACCTGCAAACAAAGGATGATTTTCACATTTGAAAATATAAAGTAAAATTGGAAAAAAGCAGCCAGCCTTTTGGTGAGAACAGTTGCCCAGTGTTTGCTCTGGGCCCAGACAGCCTGGACTGGTTCCTCCTGGGCTCCTGGTGGAAGTGGTTTCTGACCCTGTTCTGCGAGACGGTCAAGAGGTTGATGACATAAAACCTGCCATCTTGGCTCCTGCTTAGCTGCCCCGGATGACGACGTGTTAGAGAGACGATTGAACTAAAGGCTTGAAAATGAAGTTGAGGGATTTTTTCCCTCCTCTGGATTTTAATTGTCTACCTCACTTTCTCCTCTTTGGAAAATAATGGAATTTGGATGAGTTCCAGCTGCGTTCATGGTTCAACTGTCCAATATTTATAGTAACTTAAATATTTCGAGGAAAAACTTTTGCCTAATTAGTCATTTGACTGTACAGGTCCCAGCAGCAAAGACAGGGCTCCTGGGCAGACCCTGGCCTGCTGCCTGCTTGTGCCGCACGGGTGACAGGAAACTCGTCTGGTGGAGAGGATGGGCTTACAGCTGTGGAGCATCAGCTCTGTGCACAATCAGTGCCAGGGACGCAGGATACCGGGATCAGACCTTTGCTCTAAAGCTGTATACGGGTCTGATGGGGACACCATGAAACAACTAATTCGAATTTCCCCAGAGGCCATCCCTGGGACCAGAATGAATGAAACTGATACGCCAAGTTTTTATTGTGTAGCCTTAAAACTAGGCAACTCTGCTTCATAGTAAAACTAGGCAACTCTGCTTCATAGTTTTATGAAGGATTTTATTTAAAGATTTCATTAAAACCTTTCTTTTATTTTTTTAATATACATAATTTTATTACAAAATTTTTTTAAAAAAACAAAATACAACAGTCTAGAAAACCAAAAATTTACTATTGATACTAATTCCTATGAGTTTGCTGTGCTACCATACACAAGAAATTAAAGAAACCATTAAATATTTAGAAACATTTAATATCAGAAGCCTTAAAATCTAACTGTATGTAGTAGCCCCTCAAAAAGCTACAACCTGCATTTTTTTATAAAAGTATTTTCTCTACAAAGAATCTTATCAGCTATACAAAAATCTGTACAGTTTTTATACTGAAGCTAATATTGAGCTGCACTTGAATTCACATTCTTAGCAAAACAATTGCCTGAGAGCACACACACATACTCCACACACATCATTACAGGACAGCTTTATTCTTCATCTTCATCCTCTTCTTCATCATCATCATCATCATCATCATCTTCCTCTTCCTCCTCCTCATCTTCTGGTTCATTTTTCTTCTTTTCTTTTTAAAAAGGTATTTTTATTGATTTCAGAGAGGGAGGGAGAGGAGGAAGGGGGGGTGGAGAGAGAGAGAGAGAGAGAGAAACATCAACGATGAGAGAGAATCATTGATCGGCTGCCACACTGGGAATCTAGCCGCAACTCTGCAGGTGCCCTGACCAGGAATCGAACTGTGACCTCCTGGTTCATAGCTTGATGTTGAACCACTGAGCCACACCAGCTGCGCAAAACCTTTTTCTTATTAGAATACTAATGTTTAAAGCAGAAAAAACCACAGGAAAATAAAATGAAGAACATTCAATAACACCTATAATTTTATTACCCAGAGATATAAACATTAATTGGCTTGTTGGTGTTTGCCCTTCCTGCCTTTTCTTGTTATAAATACACACATATAAGGTCATCATACACACATTCACATTTAACTTGTTTTCATATATACGTTTTCACTTATAGCTTTATGTCATTAAATCTTCAATATAGTTTTTATGATACTATGTTGGTACATGCATATAGTCGAAGACTATAATTTATTTAATCTGTTATTATTGAATGTTTCCTTAATTCTGCTTTTTTTTTAAAAAAATCATTAGTAATAGATAATGCTGAGAAGTCCATCCTTATTTGTACAACTTTGTTCCCCATCCATGATTATTTTCTTAGGACAGGTTTCCAGAAGTGAACTTTCTGGGTCAGGGGCCATACCCAGTTTTAGCACTTTTGATACATAGTGCCAAATATCTATCCCCAAAGAGTTTATCAAAAAGTAGTACCAGTTTATTAGTCTACTAGGAATCCTTTTCACTCCCCAAACTAAATTTTGAGTCTTTGACAGAATTAGATCCCAGGAATTTGCTACATGAGCAATCACTGTATATATAATGTATGTATGTTTATGTATGTATAACTCAGTGATTTTTAAAAATATATATTTTTATTGATATCAGAGAGGAAGGGAGAGGGAGAGAGAGCTAGAAACATAAATGATGAAAGACAGTCGTTGATCAGCTGCCTTCTGCACGCCCCCTACTGGGGATCGAGTCAGGCATGTGCCCTGACCGGGATTCGAACCATGACCTCCATCCAGTTCATAGGTCAATGCTCAATCACTCAGCCACGCCAGCTTGACTCAGTGATGTTTTAACACCTTACAGGTGATTCCTGCATCTTAAAGTTAGTTGTAGGTAACATCAGATTTACTGTTGTTTTGGTTTATTTTTTAGTTAGGGATTAATTTTGATGGTGAACCTGGGGACAGATAAAAACAGCCGGAGACCTGGATTTCAAAGCCTGAGGAGTATTTCGGTTGGCTTGGCTAATTTCAACCTGGGTTCCCTCAACTAGGAATGAGGGCCTTGAATCGTTCCAAAGAAGATAGTTTGTATATTTTAAAAATGAAAGCAAAATCTTCCATTAGTGAAGGTGGAGTCAAGTGAGCCTCTCATAGTTCCCTCCCGGTAGGCGAGTGGTTTGCTCGGCTCATCCAGGCACCTGGCCCTCACGGCGCCCTGTTCTCGCCCGCAGGACCTGCAAGCCCAGGACCGAGCCCACCGCATCGGCCAGCAGAACGAGGTGCGGGTGCTGAGACTCTGCACCGTGAACAGCGTGGAGGAAAAGATCCTGGCTGCCGCCAAGTACAAGCTCAACGTGGATCAGAAGGTGATCCAGGCGGGCATGTTCGACCAGAAGTCTTCAAGCCACGAGCGCAGGGCGTTCCTGCAGGCCATCTTGGAGCATGAGGAGGAGAATGAGGTATTAGAGCCACCTTCATGAAATCAAACAGTGGCTTTGGTGTCCGACGATTAGGAGTAGCCTCTGTGTTCTTGAAAGAACTTCCTGGGCCGGCGTTAATGAAAAGGAATAAATTAGCTGCTGTCTTCCATCCCCAGCACAGAAAGCCTATGTGAGTTTTCCAAGTGTTTTAAAAGCAGTTGCCACAGGCACCTCAAGGCTTGGCCGCCCCGAGATGCTTCCCCAGTTTCTCGCGGGAGGTGCGGCCAGCATGCCTATTGCACTGCCAGTGCTGCTTGCTGCAGGGCAGGTGACGAGACTGCAGAGGCCACTGTCAGGGACAGACCCCGCTGATGAGACAAGAAGGCGCAGGGAGGGGCCCTCCTTGCCTTTCCCTCCGCCATCCTGCAGAGCCCTCGGTCTCTTGTCTCTTGACGGGAGATCACAGCACTCCCGTCGTTTGTAGGACAAGCCCTCCCAGCCTTTGGGAAGATAGGACCTGACCTGGTTTAGGGAGAATGCAGGTGGCCTGGAGCTTGGCAGGGAGATGTTGATCTCTCCCAGCCCTGAGGGGGGCGCAGGGTGGAGCCTGGAGTGGCCATCCACGCCTCTCGCTTCTCTGTGAGCAGCCTGCAGGGGCTCCACACGCCTGCCAGGCGATCAGCGTGCCGGACACGTTACCATTTTCTGGGTGGCCTGTGTCGGCTGTGAAGGCGTTCGGAGACACAAAGAGACGGCGGACAAAGGCTCTGGTCCTGAGTGTCTGAGGCAGCGTGGGCTGCCATCTCTGCCGCTGACAGGCTATGCATTGCTAGGGCACAAGGAGCGCAGGAAGAGTTATTGCCCACTTCCCTTTGGGTTTGTTCTCCGGGAGGGTCCGGCCACTGCGGGCAGGCTTCTTGCCAGTTTACAAGGGGAGCTTTTCATCTGGGCGCGGGGACGTGCGAGCCCCCCATCTACAGGCAGTGGAAGGCCAGCGTGGTTCTGGGAAAGGGGTGAGCAGAGCAGGACATCCCTTCTCCAGAAGTTACATGCACCGACTCTCTGTACTGAGTCCCAGCCCACCCCCAGCTCATCTGTGTCTTTGTCAGATGAAGTGGAATATTTGGACACATTGACTGTAATCAATCTAAAGATAAACTAGAATAGACGATTTTTCAAAACATCCTTTTTTTACTCGATTGAATTGCATTCATTTCTAACGCAGTGCATAAAATGTTATCTTGGGAGCCCACAGTCATCTCATTTAAGCTGTTGGCACACTCGCACTCTTTCTAGATGAAAATGCCTCTTTTTAAGAAATTGGATGTTCAAAATTCTGGGTTGTCCTCGTTCTTCCCTCTGCTGCTACTCCCCATTCGGTTTTTAACAAGCTCACTCAGCATGTGATAAAAATAATTTTGTATGGTTACCTTCCATAGGATATGCCCAACTTTTAAAACCATTGTTTTAAAAGTGTAGCAGTCATAGCATAGCATTTCTAAAAGCTCGGGAACTTCCGGTTTCTGAGGAATTTGCAGAGATCATGTTCCTTTGTTTAACATAATATAACATGAAAATGTTAGCTCTTAAATAATTGCCTTTTCTAATTCATTTCAATTGTTTTAATTAAGTATAGTTTTATAGGGGTTTTGTTATTCAGTTGTCCTATTCACAAATCTCACCGTTAGCATAATAATGCCCACTGAGATACACTGACTAAACATACCATAAAAGGCTAGATACTTGCATATATGTGGTTTTTATGGTCTTGCTCTGTGCCTAGTCTCAAAAGTTTCACATACTCATGTTTTTGTAAGGCTTTGAAAATGAGCATTTATATTTGGGATAAGGTGAATAGGGTTAAAAGAATTAACGTTAGGCACTTTTTCTTGTGGCTTTCCTTATTTAAATCTGTGATGTAAATGTCACACCCATTTTGCAAATGAGGTCATTGAGGCGGGGAGGCGTTAAGTAATTTGTTTTAAAAGTAAGGGAATCAAGATTCACGCCCAAGAGAGCCGGTATTTCTTACAGTTCTCCCTGAATAGGTTTTGGCCTGGGAAGAGGGTTTGAATAACTTGGAAAATACTGATGGCAAGTACTGCACCCAGTGACCCTTCTCTTTCCTCTCTGGCCTGAGAAACGGGACCCCTGTGGCCTGGGGGACAGATTCTCCTCACCCGTTTGCACCTCACTGCAGCCATCGCCCTCTCTCCCTAAGCCTGTGAAATCATTCTGTTTCTCAACCCCAGGAAGAAGATGAAGTACCGGACGATGAGACTCTGAACCAAATGATCGCTCGACGAGAAGAAGAATTTGATCTTTTTATGGTAATATTATAGAAAACCCTGGAAGCAGCTGCCGCATCCCTCTGCCCCCTTTTCTACGGACACCAGGTGTCTGGGGCCTGCGTGCCCTGGCGGAGTCGCATGTCTGAAGCCTGTGCCTCTCCTTCAGTTCACAGGCTGCTCGCTGGCTGGGATTAGCCTGCCGGCCATATTTTGTTTGGCCCACGCAGTGTTTTTTTATAATTTTGAACTTGTTGCCAACATAAAAAAAGAATCCTGATTTCTGGCTTCTCTTTAAAAAAAATGAGAGTGGGCAATACCAGGCCCGCATCTCCATAGAGACAGTCCACTGGAAGCTGAGCACAGACCCTCACCCCCAGGTCATTTCTAATGGGCGGGGCAGCATCCTCCCGGAAACCTGCCCTCCTCCCAGGGCAGGGTTTACAGCTCTCCCCTAGCTGTCTCCGTACAGGAGCAAAACAAACATGCTTCCTGTGGGTGGGGGTGGGAGGACAGCAACTAGAACAACAAGGTTGTGCCTCTTATTGTTGAGAGCAAATGGGAACCTCCCAGGTGCGCATCAAGGTGTAGCCTTCATGTGAAGACCAAAATTGGTTGGATTTTACTGGTACAAAGTAGATGTAAAGAACCTTGACATTTGAGGATTTACCAGCCGTGGCTTCAGCCTTGATGTTTCATCTAATTTTGCTGACACCTGAATTTGATTTATGAGTGTGGCCTGCTACAAGATCAGTATGGGTGGGAGAAGTCCCTTGGCCATAGAAGGGAGGCTCTCCGGAGTAATCTTTTATTACCTTCTAAGGCTTTTGCTATAGTGAGTTTATTTACCTCTGTTTATCCTCAATGCTCAAGACATCAGGTAGTTACTGGATAAATATTTATTGAATGAGTGGAGGCATTTGCAACATGGCGGGCCTTGAAGAAGTCAGTATGGATCAGGATATACAAAGTTGCGAGGCTCCTTCCAGCACCTTCCAAATTTATAACAGTTAGCCTGATTGTGGAGTGAGTGACTCCATCTAAACTCTAATTCCGGCTTTTGAATGGAGCAGAGCCCCCAAATCAGAAGTCCCTTGGGTCTCAGACAGGTAATTTGCATAAGCGAAGCGAGTGGACTGGGGCCAGTGGATGGTGTGCACCGGAGCTGCCTAGTCTGAGGGCACAGAGCTGCAAACCCCATGAAGCTAGAAATTCCGTTTTTAAGAGGCGCTGGAAATCTGGGCTTTTATATGTAATCTCTGGATTTCAAAATGTTTGCAGCTAAATTCATTTTTTTATTATTACATAACACTGCAGGCCAAACAAAACACGACTGTGGGCCAAATATGACCCACAGAGTTTGCAATCTCCGCCTTGTTAGCCTAGACAGTCTGAGCAGGGGCTCCAGCTGTGTGGAGGCTCAGGTTATTTTTGAGACCTGGTGTTTTCTGTCTAGGGAACAATGATTACGTCCACACATCATGATTCAAGATGAAAGACATTCCGTTCTTTCTCGGGAAACTTTTAGGTAGCCATGGGAATAACTCCTAACCTGGGATGTGCACATTTCCCCCCTTCTAAATGAACCACCCTACCCAGGTTGGGCCATTTTGGAGAGAACTGACACAAAAAAAGAGGCATTAACAGCACAGTCAACATGGGATGCTCATAAAACCTAAATGTCTTAACTAGTATTGTTGGTCACCACTCTTATAGATTGTATCTATTTAGGTAAAGTAGCGATACCCACAGGAAATAGACATCTTTTCTCCCCTGGAGGGGCTTATTGAAATGTAGATTACCGGGAACCCTGAGGTGGGAAGCCCTTTACTTCCCTGGCTGGTCACTGACGGGTAGTGATTCAGCCCTGCTCTAGCCTCACATGCTCCGGAGACCCTGAAAGGGTAAGCTGCCTGCCATTGTACAAATCAGATTAGGCCCCAAAATAAGGGGCAAAGAGTACTTCTTTTTTCTCACTTTTGGGCTGGGTATTTGTAGAAATTGACAGCTTGCGGGGGACGGGGGACTGGAATGTCTAGCCAAGGCACAGATTTCTTTTCGTTTGGGACTATTTTATCGCACAAAAACAGGCTTGGAACTGGTGAAGGTGGTTAAGGAACACTTTTTGTAGGTATTTTGATTTTGTGAATGTTCTGCCTGTTTCTTAAAAGGTTGATTTCTCATTTTTGGATTATATTTTTGAGTTCGTTTGTTTTTCCGTTGAATGTATTGGGATTACATTGGTTAATAACATTATATAAGTTTCAGGTGTACTTTATGATATAATATCTGTATATTCCATTGAGTGTTTTTCAAAGTCTTATAATCAGCTGGCTGCCTTTCTAACTCACTATTCATTAACACCTCCACCAGGGGGCAGGAAATCATATTTGAATCCTTGCCAGCTACTCTGATTAAAAAGTGTAGTGAGAAACAATGGGATGTGAGCTGGATTTGGATTTCAGTATTTAAACTCTTTATTCGTTATTATAAAAGAGTTAGTTCTCTGTAAAATGAACCCAAACTTTTTAAAACCATAGGCACTGTAGTTAAATAACACATTAAGCAGATAGTCTCTTTAAAATAAAAGAACATTTCTCTTGAACATTTTTCTTCTAAAAATGCAACGTGAGAAAAAGTTATCTCTCATACTGATTACCTGTGAATTTTACCTAAAAAGATATTTTGACAGGTCAAGGTACATATCTGAAACATTTTGCTAATATATAAATACGAAGCTTTTAGTTGCTATGTTCCCTACAAAGGCAAGAAGTACTTTTAAAAATATTTGTTAGCATAAGGTTTATTATCAGGCTTTAAGACAAACATATGCATGTAGTAATAAATAAGACTTACTTGAATATCAACTTCAGATTGTGTACTGGAATTCGGCAAGTAGAAATCTCTGGGAAAGAGATGCAGTCAATAGAATTTCAAGCTGATTAAAAATCGTAACAACCTTTCCTAAAAGGAAAAAAATGCAAGTGTAATTTGTTTTCTTTTATATCAGCAAAGATTTATTTTATCAATTGTGTGGCACGTCATTTTACAGGTCTTGGTATAGGTAACGGTAGTAGCCTAACCAAAAATTGAAGCGACAATATTTTGTCATCTCATTCCATAGCACATTACCAAAAGAATATTTTTCTTCTCAGCTGTCTAATAACTATTAAAAAGATTACCTCAAGAGGCCCCTTGATCGAGAGATTGCAATGTTAACAAGGCATCCTGTGTGTGCTAATAGCAGAGGCTTGGTGGATCCCATTGCTGATAGTAAAGCATTAGAAGGCAGGGTTGTGGTTGCAAACAGCCTCTCCAGCTAACTATAGCCCATGACAACGGGATGACCACATTGATCTCCCAGTGGGCCTCTGCCATGCTCCCAGCCCACCCATTTGGGAATATAATGATTTCCAAATATGTTTAAGCATTGTTTAAGGGTTGAACTTTAATTTTTAAATAGATTCTAGAGTTCAGATTTCAATTTGAATAGAAATTTCACTTATATTCTGTTACCAGTTTTAGCTCTTATGGAAAAATTGTATTGAACCAAAGGAAAAAAGAGGGAAAAGGTAAATCATTTAATGGTTAATGGTCTATTCAGTTGTAGAAATGACACATCAGCTAGTGATATATACATATAACTAATGTATGTTGCAATTCACTGGAGGTTTTGTTTGCTTTTCTTTAGCTATCAAATTGTTAATTATAAGTTAAAACCATATTTGTGGCACTTTATAAGTGCACAGGGCATGGGAAAATAGGCATTTTTGAAGGTTATAAAAGAATACAAAAGAGAGCCATTTCTTTAATAACTTGACCAGTGGAGATGAGATTACATCCGAGGTCTCTCTCTCGTGGTATAATATTTTCATAAGAGCTAAATTTTTTAAAAGCTGAAGAATTGAGGGGCATTTCTCTCACAGGGCCCATGGCATACTGAACATTTAATACATTCATGGCCGACCGACTGATCAAACCATTTATGTGCCCCCATGTCCGAGTCCAGCTGAGGGTGGTGGCCACTCTGTTAGTGACACTTGAGTTGCTGATTTTATTTCCTGGTGGTTCAACCAAAAGCATGAGCCCTATCGAATAAAAAAAGGACTTTTTAAAATATGCTTAAAGGATACTTTTATGCCAGGGCAGCAATGAATTGTATCACCAGGACTCCTATTTGTTAACTACATCCCCAGTTTGAATCTTTTTTTTTTAAATATATTTTATTGATTTTTTACAGAGAGGAAGGGAGAGAGATAGAGAGCTAGAAACATCGATGAGAGAGAAACATCGATCAGCTACCTCTTGCACATCTTCCACTGGGGATGTGCCCGCAACCCAGGTACATGCCCTTGACCGGAATCGAACCTGGGACCCCTCAGTCCACAGGCCAACGCTCTATCCACTGAGCCAAACCGGTTTCGGCCCCAGTTTGAATCTTAAGGGGAAGCTTTGCACACATATAGACTAAGAAAAGGAATTTGTAAAGATTGTTTGTTAAATGCATACATAAATCTCAGCAATGGGTACAAAGGAAGGGAAGAGACTAGCGCATCCACAAGAGAGAGTCCCCGTGGGACACGGAGAGGGACCCCGCAGCCTTAGGAGGCGATGTGTGAGAGGTCGGTGCGTTGCGGAGTCTGTGCGGTACCGAGCCCCGCCCTCACTGATGAAACTTATGTTCCCATCCTCAGCGCATGGACATGGACCGGCGGAGGGAGGACGCCCGGAACCCGAAGCGCAAGCCGCGCCTCATGGAGGAAGATGAGCTGCCCTCCTGGATTATTAAAGACGACGCCGAGGTGGAGAGGCTGACGTGTGAGGAAGAGGAGGAGAAGATATTTGGCAGGGGGTCTCGCCAGCGCCGGGACGTGGACTACAGCGATGCCCTCACCGAGAAGCAGTGGCTGCGGGTAGGTGTGGCTTTCTTCACTGTCCTCCGCTGGTGTCTGGTGGCGCTTCTTGTTGGCTCGGAGCAGTCAGGAGCCTAACGCTGGCTTCCTTGGAGGGGCCCGAGTCGCCAGGAAAAGGGGAGACGGCTGCTGACCATGGATAAGTCATTCTGCTGTCGCCGTGGAATCGTTCTTCACTCCTTGAAATATAGTGAAGAGGTTTTTTTTTTTGCTAGAGCAGAGCTGGCCATTGGATTATTAGAGCTCTGAGACCCACTAAAGTTTTACGACCAATTGCCTGGTCATGCCTCACTCTCTCCAAGTCAGAATCAAAATGTGGGAAAGGGGGCCTTCGGGATCTTTTTCATCGGTCCCCCTCCTTTCATGGCCTTGAATCGGAGCTTTACTTCTCCAAGGCCTGCAGAGACGGCTCAGGGGCAGGCCTCTTCCAGCTGCACCCTTACTTCATTAGAGCCAGAAGGTGCCTTTGTATTCTCTTGGTGTTACAAAGCAGTTGAGGCCCAGAGAGGTTAAGTGATTGTGTGGGAACGCACAGCTGGCCAGAGATAACCGGATCAGTGAGTGCTGTTGCATCTGCGCACTCACTCTAAGAGTGATCTGCTCTGTCCATCGCAAACACAGACTGGGGCCTGGGACTTGGTCACTTACGCTTAGAAGGGTTGTTCTTTAGTTTAGGGTGATTTCTTATTCCGACTGAGGAATGAAGTCTCAGAAGGTTCGTTGGGGAGCACGAAAATATAAGAAAGCGCCTCGGAGCCAGGTGTGTGAATCTTCCTTGGGAAGGTCGGGCCCTCCTTGCCCTTGGTGGGAGCAGACTGAGTACCTAGACCAGTGATGGCGAACCTATGACATGCGTGTCAGAGGTGACACGCGAACTCATTTTTTTGGTTGATTTTTTTGTTAAATGGCATTTAAATATATAAAATAAATATCAAAAATATAAATCTTTGTTTTACTATGGTTGCAAATATCAAAAAATTTCTATATGTGACACGGTACCAGAGTTAAGTTAGGGTTTTTCAAAATGCTGACACGCCGAGCTCAAAAGGTCCGCCATCACTGACCTAGACAGACACAGTCTGGGGCACACATTCCAGGCAGGGGCAGTAAGTGCTCGCTGGAAATAGTAACGCAGTTGGGTAAAAACCAAACAAAATAGAGGTTGTTGTTGTAAGTTGTTCATTTTATCAAAAGGGAATGCAATTTCCAAGGTTTGTAGAACAGAGATTTTAGGACCCAGGTCATAAGTAGGTAGGTGGGTTGAAAAAGGCCATGGGAAGTATTTTGAGATTGGATGTCAACAGCAGGCAGGTCTTGGCACCACTTGAGATGTGATTTACCTGGGATGTTGTATGATGAGAGAGACGTGATCTAAATTTCAAAAAGATTGAAGTCTGTGGTATTCAGAAAAGAGAGACTAAGAAAGCATTGCTCGTGTTTATGATTGAACAATGGCTATGAAATGTAACTTTCATGTGATTATTTTATGGTCGTATCCAAACATTCAGGTGGTCTCAGAATACGGCTCTATGGATTTCTTTTGTTTCACTATTGTGAGGTTATCAGCTGTATAACTAAGATTCGTTCTATAATGTGAAGAGATTTGTGTTTAATAATCATTTCTGAGTTCAGGAAAATCGATTCCCTTTCTTTTTTATTTAAGCAATGAATTAAGTACCTGGAGTATTATTACAAGAGATATTAATCTAGGGCCGACATTTTAGTCAGTCTTTATATATGTATTACAGAGAAAATAACCTTGTTTATTGGTACGAATGTAGCTGAACTTTTTATTGTTTAAGTAATCACTGGGAAATAAATGCTCTTAAGAAAAATAACTATGAATCTCAGATAAAGTATAGGTTTAGAATATCTCATTTTTTTTCTCTTTTTCATTCAGTTTCTATCACAAATGATTAGCACAGTGTTTAGCCCCTAGTAGAGACTCAATGAATGTTTGTGAAATGAAATTAAAACCTTGTAAGAGGAAAGTGGAAAGTTACTAATTTACCAGTGATGTCAGGTTGTCTTTCTCTTTCTGGTGTACCTAGTGGACTTCCTTTTATCGGTAACATATACATCTAAAAATGGAAAACTAGTTTGTTTTACAAAACTACACTGTGAAATTGATGTTCATAATTTTCAACCTAAGGTGCATTGTGAGATACCAAGTCACCCAAGAAGGTCAAAACTGTTCTTAGTACAGCTCTATTGTAATAATTTCTTTTGGAATCCAGGCTTTCTCGAACCGGATGTCCATTTTTGGTATGAGCCGGTAACTTGCTGTTAACCAGGAACCAATGCAGAATGTCCTGTGGCCCTCAGCATTCGAAACAGATGCTTACTGTCGTTTGTTTTCTTCTTCACCAGTAGCAATCTTGCATAGTACCAGCCTGTTAAGCTTTTCTGATCATAAAGTGATATTCAAGGGGTTCTCACGGGCCTGCATGTGAAGAGATATTCTCGATTGGTTTAAGATTGAGCAAAACCCAGCCAACACAGCCTTGAAAGGGAATTTGGCAGGGACCATGGTGTAAGAAATGCTGTGGCAGGGCTTACAATCATTCCTCTTTTTCCTGGCAGTGTTATACAAAGCCTGCTTGGCAGAGGCATCAAACATACATAGACTCCCAGAGTTGGAAGGCAGCTGAATGGAGCAGCTACCCATCCTGTGCTTAAATCACATTGTCTGCGGAGCCCAAGCCAAGAGGCTGGCCGTCCCTACAGGAAACACTCCCCTTCTTGTCTGCGGAGCCCCTCCAGACCTTCTTCCTTTTGAATGGAATCCTCTTTCCCTGTAGCTGCTCCTCACTGTCCTGGATTCTAGTCCCTGGAGTGAACAGAACGTTATTTTTTCTCTTTTTAGCATCACGTCCCGCTGGACAAAATATTTGAGTATTCGTGTCCAGTCTGGAATGAACTTTCTACCCTCCTCTTTCTTCTGAACTTAGCTCATCCTTCAAGGCCCAGCTCGCTTGCCAGCACTTCTGTGATGCTTCCACAAGTATCACACTTGCCACTGTGTTCTCATAAGTCTTTGCTTGTCCTTCTGTCACAGCGCAAACCCGGTTTCCTAGTTTTCTTGTTAGTTGCTGACGTGCCTGGTTTCCTGACTAGTGGATGAGCTGCATCTTGTTAGAACTTAGGTCTCCGTGTGCAAAGAGTAAGCGCCCATTGATTGCCCAGTTGAAATCTCACTGATTGATTGATGTATAAGAGTGTTGCCTAGGGTAATGTTCACGGCTGCAACAGATGAACCTAAACATGCCGTATGTGTGGGCCTATTCAAAAAAATAAGTGGAATTTTTATTTCTCACATGGAAGTAAGTCCACAGTAGGCATTCCTGGTTGGTGGGGACAGCTGTCCTCCATGTGGCCAATCAAGAATCCTGCTGACAGAGCCTCTGCCAGCTTAGACATCCCGTCCCAGTGAGCTGGAGGTGGGGAAGACAGCATGGAGTGGTGGGCATGGGGTTCTAATGGGCTGGGTCTGAAGGTTCCATGTCACTTCTGCGCACATTCCATTGGCTAGAAGTCAGTCCTACGGCCACCCTAGCTGTAAGGAAGACTGGGAACTGGCCTGGCTGTGTTATAGGATGAAGTGGAGGGTCCTCTTCCCCACTGTGATGCTGGGGGTTGAAACATTCAAACCTGTAAAGAATTACTGAGTTTATTTGAGCCAAACTGTCGATAGTTTCAGGGAAGCAGAATCTTGACATCCTATATAACAAAGAGGTAATATGCAAACTGACCGTCATGCCCTCGCACAAGATGGTCGGCCCCCCGCTGTGTGGTCACAAGATGCCTGCCACATGATGGCCAGCAGGGGAGGGCAGTTGTGGGTGATCAGGCCAGCAGGGGAGGACAGTTGGGGGCGATCGGGCGGGCATGGAAGCTGTTAGGTGTCGACCAGGCTGGCAGGGGAGTGGTTAGGGGGTGATCAGGCTGGCAGGCAGGCGAGCAGTTGGGAGCCAGCAATCCCAGATTGTGAGAGGGATGTCCAACTGCCAGTTTAGGCCCGATCCCAAAGGGGTCCCAGATTGGAGAGGGTGCAGGCTGGGCTGAGGGACCCCCCCCCCCCAAGTGCAGGAATTTCGTGTACTGGGCCTCTAGTATTGAGATAATGCTCATGAGAATGGCAGTTTTTCAGTTTGTTTTATAAATTACAGTCACAGGAGGAGATGTAAGTGGGTTACATGAAATCCGTTGGTGATAGATTAGGGAGGCGGAGGAAAGCAAGGGGAGGGGGAGGGCCTCTGGGATTGGATAAAAAGTAAAATGATAGACACTTGCTTCCTATACATAGGTGGTACAGGATAGTTAACAGTCAACAATTAACACAATAACAATTACAATGAAGAAATTTGTGGTCTCCACCCTGATGCATTGATTGTGCCCTGAGGGAAGCAAGTGGCACAACCAGAAAAGGGAAGGTTACAGGTTACCCTGACATTCCAAATGCCTGTTGTCAGGGATGCAAAAAGACAGTAGGCTCAGTTAAGATCAAAGTTGATCTTTGTCAGGGAAGATACCAGCCTAAGACGTGACTACCCACTATAAACTGCTTTTTTAATTTAAAAAGTTTTAATTTTAGACCATCCTTTGTGGTTACTTTAGGCCTGTACATTTGCAAGGCTGCCACGCAGACCTCCTCCGAGCTAGTCAGGTTAGCATGTGGCCCCTTTTCGTCCACAGGGTGGAGTCCTTACAATATCTCAAGAAAAATTCCAAAGTTCCATTTCTCTTAGTCCAGTCACAGAGGAAGTTTAGCTGGGATTTCAGTAAAACTAGAAGCAAGGCCAGTGTCCAGAGTTTCCTTTCCATATGCCGGTCCGTTCAGCATCAGGCTAGCTGCACTCCATGAGTCCATTGTGTCTGGGGTCCACATGGCCCTGTGGGCCCTGTGGGAGTCCCAAGAGCAGCAAGAGCACAAGAGTAAGAACTCCTTTGTTCAGAGGATTAAATATGCCAAATGTCACACCCTTGCAGTGGCCACGCCC